TTCATCTGTAAAATGTTTAAGTACATCTTTTCTTTATAGAAGAGTATAGGTTAAAATGCATAATTTAAAAAAGCATTCCATACCTGACCTCTATCTATGCAACATGTACTGTTTTTGAAGATAGGATGATGATTGCTTTCAGGGATAGCTCTTTATCATACATATCTATAAAATATATATAGAAACAAATAGTCGTCAAACAGAGGCTATTACTGGGCAAATTAGAGCCAACTCCTGAATTCGTCCCTTAGTACAGACTTAGTGTGAACAATTCTACCATCATATCCCAGTAATAAGTTTTTTTGTACATTCAGGCAGTTTTGTGGGGATTTGAAATGAAGTTGTTTCTTTGGTTGGAAAGGAATTTTGTTGTTATGAGCTGGGCAGAATTTGTAGATCGTAATGAGGATATCCTTATCTGAGGTTTTATTATAGGAAGGGTTATTGCAATTTAACACCAGGACCTTTTCAGTTTTAAAAGTGTTCTACATTTTTATTCCAGAGAGTTATTAAAGAATATTATTTTTCATCAATTATCATTTTGAATAAACTCTATGAGTAACAATGGATATGTTATCAGTGGTATAAATGTTGATTACCTTAAGAGCTGTGAAAGTCTGGAACAGCTGGATGAGATCTTCAGATCCCTGCACTACTGAAAACTAAATGAGACAGATGACCCAAATGGCCTCCTAGCATTTGTAGCCTATGTTATACTCTTATGATTTACAATCAGCTTATACAAAGTGCTAGTTATGCCTGTCAGGTTTTACGCACCTAGCACATAACAAATCTTTTTGTAGTTGTACACTAACACATGGGTCTCAAAATGAAACCTTTTTAAAACATTGTGAAATCTCAATGTACTCAATGTAATGCCCAGATGTAAGGGTCGTGTGTAGGTGTAAATATCATTAATCCTTCCTTGTCAGAATTAATTTAATTGGTTCTATCCCTGTACTTTACCCATCATAAAAAAGGGAATCAGGTGTGTAACGATCTTGTATAACTTTGGGTCATCACAAAGCAGGATCCAGCATACAGTATGCAATACTCCCTCAATGAGAGCTGTAGAAAACCATACAATTTTCTATCATATATATTTTAAATTAGAACAGTACATAGAAACTTATAAACTTTTTTGGCGAATGGGATTTTTGGACCTTATTGAACAATTCAAACATTGCATCATACATAAGGTTTGCCATTGTACCAGATTCCCAAGCACTCAGAAATTGTTTTTAATTGTATACGTTCTGCTTATTCTCTCATGCCATCTGTGAATCTAAACGAATCTAATACGAATTGAATTCCCTGGATTCAAACTTAATGAGATAAAAATTGTCTGCACACCTTTGACATTTTTTTGTGAACAACAGTAGTTCTCATTTCTGATGTTAGACCTTTTCTGATGTGTTAGCTAGAGAAAGAAGAGAGTGATTCATCCTATCCACAGATAACACTCTGAAAGAATGTTATTTGTATTTGCCCACTGTCATACCTGGATAAATAACTGTGCCAGATCTCCCAGAGCCCTGACAAAGGAAGTAGGTAGTTAACCACATTACCAAACACAGTATGATGGATGCAGCAGGTTTTTCAGGGGGCAGAGGGCAGGCACTGCTCTCCTAAAGGAAGATGGATGAAGCTCAGGTTAACAGCGAACCAACTCCTTCACTCAGGCATGTTTTCTTAGCTATAAACCATCTGACTTCCTGTTGAGAGCACAGAATCTGTTTTGTGGAAGGGAATGTTTGATGAGATTAGTTTTGCACACAAGTGAATAGTATTTATATAATCATTATCCTTTTTATCTAAATTATCTAAACCCATAGTAAGTTTGAAGCTGAAGTTATTTCAAAGTAACAGTGTTTGTAGTTTTGCATTAAGCATACTATAGATGAACAGCCTGGATTTAAAACATCATTTATACTTATATACTTTATAGCTACAAACTGGAAGTTGCTTCACAACACAAACAGAAGCCTTATGTGACAAGTGCTGTTTTAATTTATAATTATCTACATGGTGGGGATACATTTCATATGACCTAATCTTTCAAATTTAAAATTGTGACATTTGTTCTATGAAATGATTCTTGGATTCTTGAACATTTTACAATTTTGGTTCTTTTTTGGAGAAACTTAATACAGATTGAAAAATAACTGCATGTAGGAAGCACAAAGTCAGACACAGACAGCTGATTCTGCAATAAACAATATTATAAATGTCTTGCAGGCTAAATGGGCAGTCAATCCCTCGATACCCTGTTACCTTTTGGCCTTTGTTTCTAATCCATCAAAGAACAGTCAGTTTAATTTTATCTAAAGTGTCCTCAGAACATATACCACAAGTATTTCAATATACTGTAGGGGTACATTAAATAAAGATGAATGATTTTAAGAAATCCATTTATTTTGTTCTTCAACATTAAAATTATCACTTTTTTTCTACTGAAGAAAAACATCTTGTATCAATGTGATCGTAAAATCTTGTCAGTGGAGCAATGTTTACTTACCCAAATAGATTAATGCTTTAAAACTAAGTTTTAATCATTTCATTGTGCAGTGCTCTTGGGTTACAATACACTTTGTTGTGTAATTCAGAGCACAAATTTACAAATCGGATGGAAATAGCAATGTATCATAGAGGTACAGTATTCTTCATACAGAGACAGTGATAGTAATATAATGAATATAATTAACTGAATCCAGAGTTTTCATAATTAATATAAGAGGTGATCACATAACAGGAAGAAGAGCAGAAATTAAGTGTTTTAAAGAAAAATATCTACTGTACATAGAGTGGTTTCATTTGAAATTATTGCAAACACTGAAACTATTTGTAACGGGTAGAATCCTTGCACTTCTTTACCACTACGACACCACACAAGGGGATCCTTCTTTTTGCCACAGTTCCTTTTCATTAGCAAAGCAGAGCGACTGAACACCGTGTATGCAAGTGAGCCGGAGCCCCTCTCTGGAAGATGTGCGCAGTGTGAGCGCTGGTCTAATGACTGTCCCCATTTCCCTCCGCAAGGCAGTACACTGGGGTCTCAGTGAGAGTGACTAAGGAGGCCTTCTCAGTGCAGGCTGAGTGAGTTTACTCTCTTATCTCCCAGCAAACACAGAGAGGATTATTTTCAAAAAAAGATCCTCTGGAGGATAAAGTTACATGGCATCACCTCTCATTCTATAAAGCTTTAGATAGCAGAAAATAATGTTATCCACCATCAGATAGCCTTTGAAAATTCCCCTCCCCCGTTTATTGTTCCAGTAATAACATTTTTTACTTAGGTTATAGTATTTTGCACGCCTGTAACATACAATTCAAAGTAATAAATTAATCTAAAAGGATGCAACAAAATCACATTAGAAGCAAAATGTTACCAGTGCTTGCATTAATGATAAGTACTTATTCATGTTCAATTGCCAAAAATGATCAACAGTGAGTTTAGGACTATTTCACTTACATACCGTATAGCATCCAATTAAATGTGCAGCATAAGCTGTTCCTGAAGACTCATGAAAACAATGAGTAACAGCAATGAACATGGGTCACCGACCTTATTGATATGTGAAATTAAGGTCTTAAGGGTTTGTTAAGGAATATAGTTTATTTTGTTTAGTTTGGGTTTTTTTTCTGAACTCACATGAGTCTCCATAGCATGCCAGACTAAGTTTTAGAAAAATAATTTTTACAAATATAGTCTTCAAGACTGCTGTAGATGCACTATTGGGAGTATACGCCATTGCAGAATTGTCTATGGCTTTCCCAAAAGAACAGCATTGGCAAAAAAATAATAAATAAACAACAAGAAAAAAACCTCAGGCTCAGCAGCTTCGAGTGGGTGAATGGTGATATGTGACTGGTTGATTTATCACAAGAAAAGGCAGCTAGAAAGTACAATTTTCTACCTAGCTGCAAACAATAATTCATAATGATGTCCCTTCTAGATAAGAGACCTTTTGCTGTGTAGGGCTCCTGTGTTAAAATGATCTTGATAAATGTCAGTCTGGCGCAGGTAACTACTTTACACACCATTAAGATTAGTTGGCTCTTTTTCAATGATAACAGCTACCATGCCCTTCTGTGTCGTAATAATATCTGGGTACAAATAAATGCCAGTACTACCGGCAGAGGAGTTTATCATGTGAGATTCTGAATTGCTGACTCAAGACATCACATATTAACATTACTGTTCCTATGGAATACCTGGACACTGCATGACTTTCAGTCTTTACTTTTACAGTGTAAATGAAATGCTGCTTCCCATATCAGTGATTTATTGGTTTATAGTTGCTTTCTCATGTAGTAAAATACATAAATTGCAAATCAAAATGATGTATTGAATTCATGATTCATTTTTGACAGCATTTGTGTGTTAGTACAAGAGATCAAATAATGTATATCGTAAAATACAATTTCGGTGACCATCATAGCTAGAACAATACTGAACTAGGAGATATAATTTAAGTTTCCATTATTGTTACATTTTTCTAACTTTTGTTTTGAGTGTGCATGTAGTCATTTAGTAACTAACGTCAGATCTACTATAAGATCACCTCTGGATTCCATGATTTCGAAATAAGAAAGGTTTTGGAGCCATCTTCAATTATTTTTAATTCTATGACAATGTTACTGTCATGCATGTTTTATAGCTATAATGTAAAATGATAACTTTATAGTGTATAATACATGTATCCTAATATCAGATTGAGCATATGCTTGTTATTCAATTCCTCTTAGTCTGCAAAAACATCTTTATCCTGTTGTTTTGGTAAACAGATATTGAGCTGAAATATAAATCAGTAATGTAGTTTCTCTGCCTTTGTCAAATGTTACAGAATTTGTAACTTGTTTTTTGGCAAAAAAAACAAATTAAATTAAGGTTAAAATTCAGAGTGGGTATTTTTATCAATTATAAATTCAGAGGAATTTATAGTATGGATCATGCTGCAATTAAGAAACTGTGACATTCTTGCTTTTCTGTTTTGCAGAAATTAGAGATTACAACCAGCGCGTCCAGGCTGTCAAAAAACTGCTGTATCAACTGCCAAGGCCTCATCATGACACAATGAAACTGCTCTTCAGACACCTACAAAAGTAAGTTTAACCTCACTTTGTTTACCTAATATCTTTTACTTTGAAAAGAATCTGCATTCAAGAAGAAAGATCAGATTTTTTTTATATAGAAAATTTGTATTCTCAGATCCTTTATCGGCTTTATGTATACCACTTTAAGCTTCTCTCCTTAACAGAATTAGTTTTTGTTTTTTTTCATTTTTCTTAATGTCAAGCACACAACATTACACCCAGTCAGGAAAAGTTAATGTTCCTGTCCCGTGGTGATTTTCGAACAGTCTCCTTGAGGTACTTCTCCGTTTTTACAGCTGATTCTTTTTTTGTTTGTTTGTTGGCTTGTTTGTTTGGATGTGTTGATGGGGAGAGAACAGTAGCTACCTCTGTTGAAGCAAAACATGTCATTTATAGAGCACTCACATGTGCACAGGGGTCAATATTGTGAGGATACCTGTACATCTTTCTGAAATCATCACCATGCTGGTTGCAGGTTAGGAGAGCATTAGCCTCCAACTTTCAAGATGGTCTTTGTCTTATCTCTTAGTTGTTTCTTCATTCTGATTCAGTGACTTTTGTAATGTAGAGCTGCTATTGATTCTTTAGCTGTTTACTGTGGTCTGAACTCTATAATGTGAATTGATGCATCTCATCATATTTTATGCCTGACCTTCAAACCATGGTACAGTAACTCACCTACCAATCACTCTTCTTCCATATCTCTCTTGTCTATGTTAATTCAGCCTTCTTGCTGAAAGGCTAATATTATCTTGGAAGAAACTGGGTAAGATGTCAGCAGAACACATCCACCGTCACATATTTTATTTCAAACAGCAAACTTTTGAATGAGGAATTTGTGTCTGATAGTTTAGTCTTTTCCATGAAATAGGGTCCCTCATGCACAAGACTTATATTGACACAACAGGTGTGAATGCGTTGTGTTTAAGAGTGCTCATACTGTACTGTATTATATTCAGTGTGTATCTCAGTGAATATGGGTTTATGCGTGTATCAATATATTTTTGCAGTAATGCAAATTTCAGTAAAATAAATATTGTGTAATTGTAATTTAAATTGTTCAGTAAACTCTTATTTCATAGCAAAACATACATTTGCTCTAATGAAGCATCAAAATGAAGCTGATACCACACATTGTGCTTCATTTATCCTAGGATTTTAACAGGACATAAAGCAGATGTCTAATCAGAGCTCTGGATCATGTGGTATGACATATACATGTATGAATTTATTATGGATTATAAGGAAACTGTACAATTTGTTCAGTTTGTACAGTTCCTTCCTAAGTTGTTTAAATATAGGATTTTTCCACTAAACATTCAAGTGGCAAACCTACTTAAAGCTTGTTTTCTAAAAGCATTAATGCTTCATAATGTAATGTTATGTCAAACTAAAGAGTATAATCATTTCTGTACTGTTGTTTTTCATGTACATTTTTATCTGAACATCAGCAGATTATAGAAAAAACTAATTAACTGAAGTCTTTGAACTGACAGTTCAGTAACTAGAAATCCTAGTTACTTTGCTGTAACTGTTATTTTCAGCTGTCAGGAATACAAGTATTTAAGCAGAGTTAAATTTAAACTCAGTAATGTATGAGTATTATGAAATTAGTAAAAAATGCCCCCAAAACACCTGAAAGATATTAACCCTAATCCTAAATTCCTTGCTTTGAATGATTATGTTTATAAATAAAATATGTACAGAATAACTTTATATCTCAGCTCTTTGGATTTATTAAACTCATAATCCTAGTTTCAGTGCAGCTCATAAGAAAGTAATTGGATTTTAGTGAAAATCAAGCGAGAGTCAATGAAATGAAGTAAGAGAGAGCAGGAGAATGAGGCAGAGGCCTGAATTGAGTTCAGCTGAACTGTTGCTAAGCTTTTTTTCCAGTGTTTCTGTGTCAGTATCAGTCAGAGCAAGATGCAGGGAAATATTAGAAGAAACACAGGGCCACAGAAGAAGGCCTTAGGTTCATTTCTACAACACCATGTCAGGCTACCATAACAGAGGTAACAGAACACAAGACAGAAGTACAGTAGCATTTCTTTTTAAGAATTGCTCACCTTGCCTGAGCATAATATCTGTCGTTTTCTGCTCACCTCTTATTGTCTTCTGTCGCTCTACATTGAAACCCACAGTTGTTTTAATTTTTTAAGTGTATTAAGATATTGACAGAGACAGGGAGCATTGGCTCAATTATGTATTTGGAACTTCAATGGCGTTAGCACTTTCAGACAGTACTCTTCAGCATCTTCTTGTTTGCTCTAAAAGATGGTCTCAGCTAACTTTCCTGTAATTGTTTGGTCACTGATGAGGATGGTATTATTATTGGCTGCCCTGCCTATTTTGTCTTCTCATAAAAAAATCACTTACTTTATTTCTCAGTATGTATATTATATTTATTTTAAAAAACATCTTGTGTGTTGTAAAAATAATGACACAAGCTAAAAAATTGGAAGGGTTAAACAAGAGTAAGTTACAGTGTATTTATAATGATGGCCGTTCTTTGGTACGTATTAATGTTCACTGACTAACTAGGGTTTACAATCTTCTCAGTACCATCAGAAAAAGTGAATCTAACTTGCAGTGTTTAATCGAAATGACAAAACATGTCAAAATGTCCTGTATCAACTACAGATTTTTGTAACTGAAATTATCTACAAAATGTGCCACACTTAAAATATGTTTAGCATAGCAAACTCAGTCCCAAAGCCTGCAGCAACCTTTAACAATTTCATCTTTGGCATATATGTGCTCTTTTGGTATTTAGTGAAGATTTAAAGGCACTGACAACTGAAGTTTCCATTTACACAACGTGTTAAACCCTAACCGTCTTATGAAGATACATACTAAATGAACACGAAAACTCACCCTGGTGACAGGGCTGAAGAGTTTCTCAGAAGCTCACTGAGTAGAATATTCTAATTAATGTCATAGGGGTGTAAACAGATACCTGTCCATGCAGTGTATATGTGAATCCTGTGTAAAACATGGTCTAAAATGTACCACAGTTGTCTCATTGTGTGGCCCCTGCAACACCCATGACTGCATGTATAGAACAGCCTTGTGCAGGATCATTATACAGCCCCAGAGAGCTCCTCACTTCCCTCTCATTATCATCAACAGAGGCTCACTTCCATTTTTCTTGCTGAATCTCTTTATCTCCACTTGTGACATATTTTAAGAAAACTCAGATGCGTTTAAAAAGGGGAGAATATATAAAAAATCTTTTTACGTATGTTTATGTATGGAGTATGTACAGTAACAGCCATTTCTCAATCCAGCTGTTTTCAGTCAGCTGTTGTGTAATATATATTGAAATAATACATATGGGCTCTAACAAATTTATTTAATAGGTGTTCAATAAACTTGAAAATTTCTAAATGGTTTATGGTTATTTGAGTAACATTAAAAGTAACTTCAATGCACGTATACAAACTGAAGGAAACCACATCCTCATAAAATTTTACTTATTGACTTATTCATACTAGTTTGTATGTGCCAAAATCATAGCATGAGTTTTCAACAATTTTAGGCAGAAGGTCTTCATTAAAAGCATGTAAATGATTTTATAATAATTTATTTTATATAGCACCCCCCCCCTTCCCCCACCACCACCCCCGGTCCACAAGTTTTCACGGGAGGGATGAACCTCCCCTCCCCTGAAATCAATTTTTCAAAGTTGGGATGTCTGAGGTGAGCATTAGGCTTTTGAAGTCGACACGAACTTGACAGGAAGCAAGGACTCCAGGATAGGAGTAATGTGATCACTTGTTTTAGACCTGGTCAGGATTCTGGCTGCAGAATTTTGGACATACTGAAGTTTGTTCAACAATGAGTAGAGTGTTTACAGTAGTCAGTTCGGGAGAAGAGAAATGTGTTGATCAGCTTTTCAGCCACAGTTACTGATAACTTAGGGTGTAGTCTAGTGATATTTCTGAAGTGAAAGATGACTTGACAATATGCTGCACATGTAGGTCAAATGTCAAGCCTGAATCAAATATCACCCCCCATGTTTTTCAATTTAGACTGAAGCTCCAGTACCATCCACAGATAGGGTTACCGCATTGGCTTTACAAAGTTGATGGGGGTGCCAATAAGCATGACTTCAGTCGTGCCACATTTCAGATAAAGGAAATTTGGAGTCATCCGTGTTTTTATGTCGGAGATGCAGAGAGAACAGAGACAGCCACATCAGTGTCAGGTTTGGTATGGATGTAGATTTGAGCATCGTCAGCATAGAAATCATAGTTGAGGCCATGTGATCTTAAAAGCTGACCAAGTGACCAGCGATGAAAAGTAAGGGGCCCAGTATCGAGCTCAGAGGAACACCAGACATAACGAGTTCAATTTCAGAACTAAATCTGCCAAGAGAGGCAAAGTGTCTCAGTGAGGTAGGACTTGAACCATTTAAGAGCAATGTCAAACTAAAGAGAGAAAAGCAAACATGAAAAAATGCAGCATTGATATCAGCTCCTGAGGGGTTAAGGCTCTTGACTAAAGTATTTGGCGAAAGTTTATATGGGTAGGATCCCAATGCTTTGAGACTGAAAGATGTTTAAATGATGAAGCAAAGCAAAAACAATGGAAGAGAGCTCATGACGACCAGATTGCACAGCACACATCCAGATGTTTTCTGAAGCAACACCTAGTCACCCTGCCAGAGAGTGTGTGTATTCCTGACTTCCACTCACCTTCCAGCTCATGGAAGACAGTCTTTCCAGACCACAAGGGATCTGTCACGCGTAGTCTTCTCTGTCCAAATCTAAAAAGGATTGGTTCCTTCAGCCTGTCAGTTTAGGACATTCATTTAATCCCCAAAATGTGTCTGGTAGCTCTTCTCTGGATTGATCCCAGAGGGTGGTGACCACAATTGTACACAGTATTCTAAATGAGGCCTTACTGGGACAATGTACAATTTTAACATCTGATTTATTGCTTCTACATATTGTCTGGAAGATGTAAATGATGTGTCAACAAAAACACCAAAGTCTTTTTCATAA